AATCAAATAAGCTTCTCAAAACAATTTTCCGCTAGATGTGGAGAACATGGAGCCCGTCCACCAGAAGCCACACCCAGAGGTAGGATCGGCTGAAATCGGGAGAACATTCCGGTAGGCAATGACCAATCGATTCGCCTAGAATGGGTATTAGCAAGATTGAACAAGTGCTACAAACACGCGCAATGCGGGACTTGGTCATCAAATGCGACACACATGGGTTTATCACCGTCCGTAGGTACGTCCAGAAGTTTATATGTGCCAGAAAGCCCTTATTAGGAACGATTGGGCACAAACTCGACGACGGAGCATGCACAAAAATAATATCATTTTGTAAGGTAAAATCCATTGCCAATTGTAATTCCCTTTCCGGGCAACACGCACATGGAACCATGCATGTGAACGACCCTCGCTACGTCTCTACCTAGAACCTGCGGGCTACGAACCCTCCTAAACAGGGCAGCCATCCCAGCCTTGGCCTCGGCAACCACTTCCTTCGAGATCCGCATTTCATTTACCAGGGAAGCAAAAACGATGTCGTCGCTGCACTTTTATGATTGAACAGGGCTCCGGCCCGGGCTGTCCAGGTTCCCAGTATGAGAGATTACGTCGTTCATCCGACTTCGGTGGCGTCTCCCCCCCTGAGTTCCACATAAAATCAGGCTAGGTCTTCAAATCAGTAGATTATTACATAGTGTGTATGGAGGGAGGGTGTTCCGCTGCGAACCCGGTTATCCTAAACCGAATGAAAACTAACGGGCAGACCATGAAACGCCCAGCAACCCCAACGCGGCGCGGCCGGGAAGCTGCCCCGGAAGAGCCCCAGACGATTCCTTCGGTCGCGAAAGCGGCACACAGTTCTCGTTGTTGAGGATCGACTTTCAAGAATTTGCAAGAACCGATTATTGATTATATTGCGGCAGTTGTGCCGGTGTCGCTGTGCCAGGTCGGCGAATGTAATGTAATGCAAAAGGCAGCAGGCGCCAGTTTGGTGCTCCCAGCCCCCACGCAAACCCACAGATCCAAGCACCAGCCCTCTTTAGCCATCACGCACGCCCTGCCTCCCCCTCTGCTGCGATAATATCTTCTTACTCCTCCGGGGTCGTTCCCCCAACTTCTGTGTGCCGCTCCAGCCTCCTCGGAGGGGCAAAATTTCTGCATTCCTGTGGGTAGGTGTGCCGTATTGTGGGCGGCGCCAGTCGGCGGGGCTCCCCGACAGTGGTCCTGAACCGGAAAATCCTGGCGTGTTGGTTTGAAGGTTGCGGTAGGAGGTGGGGTCTTGGAGGATAGGCGCTGATTCGGGAGTTCTGCCAGCGCCGGCGGAGCGAGCCGGAATCGGTCGCAGCTGCCTTTGTGCCCTGTGCCGGAGGTCTGCATCGCACCGCACCGCATCGGCGCCTCGCGCGATTATGAGACGCCTCCGAGCTCGGCAACACCGGCATCGTATCTACGAGCGGGCAAGGACTTCACCCCCTTCCCTCCCCACTGCCAAACGTAAATATTGAAACCCAAACTCATGTGCATATATTCCACGCTAAACGACGACAGCATTTTGCTCATCTCTTGCATCTTACGTCTCCTACGCATACACCGTATACGAAATACGGTATGTCGTTTTGGTTTCTGCAGCGGCGCGATGCATGGCAACAGAATTGAAGAACTACAAAAATTTGATTATATATGGCCGTATTTTGTGGTTACTCCGTTGATCGCATCCGACGGTAGCGAGCAATGTCGGTTGGTGTCGTCGGCGCACGCAAACGGTTCAGGACGATTGGGGTTTACGGCCGTAATTAATTAAATTACGGCCGAACGGCCCCGCTTGTGCAAGAAGCTTCAGATTGCGCAACAAAACTGACACTTCACATTGTATTAGGACCAACTTCCAAGGCCTGATATCCCCGCCAAATGCCCCTCCGCGCAATTGAGCGAAGGATGAGGTTCAATAGTTCACAGATCTCTTCGCGACCAACATAGCCAAAATAAAACATTGCTTTTGTTATCTCACATGATTATATGAAGCTCTGCTACCAGCCCTTCCTGTGTGTTGATGCCTGTGATCACGGGAACGCTCATGACTTCACGTGGCTTACGTTAGTTCATTAGGACGGTTGAGGTTTACGTCCGTTAGGACGATTGGGCGTCGCACGTAGCGAGTGACGTCCGGACGTGATCCGTCGAGTTCACGTTTTTGCAGTCCTGGCCTGATGGCCTAGCCGCCAATCGACTTGTTCCCACTAACGGCGCCAAACGGGGAGGGGGGCATGGGCCGACAGCAGCATACGGCATACGGCACGCGGCGGCCCTCTCACGTGGCTGCGGTGGTGGCGGTGTGGTGGCAGGCCCGCTGATTCTCCACCACCACCCACACGGCGGGATGCACCGGCGGGGGCCTTGGCGGACTTCACACCTATCTCGCCTCACGACGAGCCGATACGGATCCGATGACGGTCCCATCCCCTGATGTCCCCCGAGCTGTCTTCCCCCTCCCCCTCCGTGAAATGGTCCCTCCTGTCCGTCTGTCTGCCTGCCTGCCCTGTTTTGCAAACTGCAGGCGTGTTGCCCACTCATCATTGTCATCCTCTTCCACCTTTTCCCCCTCTTCAGCCTCCGAGGACTCGACGGAATGCACTATTCGAGGCTGGGCCCATGGGTCGAGGCTGGGCCCATGGGTCGAGGCTGGGCCCATGGGTCGAGGCTGGGCCCATGGGTCGAGGCTGGGCCCATGGGTCGAGGCTGGGCCCATGGGTCGAGGCTGGGCCCATGGGTCGAGGCTGGGCCCATGGGTCGAGGCTGGGCCCATGGGTCGAGGCTGGGCCCATGGGTCGAGGCTGGGCCCATGGGTCGAGGCTGGGCCCATGGGTCGAGGCTGGGCCCATGGGTCGAGGCTGGGCCCATGGGTCGAGGCTGGGCCCATGGGTCGAGGCTGGGCCCATGGGTCGAGGCTGGGCCCATGGGTCGAGGCTGGGCCCATGGGACGAGGCTGGGCCCATGGGTCGAGGCTGGGCCCATGGGTCGAGGCTGGGCCCATGGGTCGAGCCTGGGCCCATGGGTCGAGCCTGGGCCCATGGGTCGAGGCTGGGTGCAGGGGTCGAAGCTGGGTGCAGGGGTCGAGGCTGGGCCCATGGGACGAGGCTGGGCCCATGGGTCGAGGCTGGGCCCATGGGTCGAGGCTGGGCCCATGGGTCGAGGCTGGGCCCATGGGTCGAGGCTGGGCCCATGGGTCGAGGCTGGGCCCATGGGTCGAGGCTGGGCCCATGGGTCGAGGCTGGGCCCATGGGTCGAGGCTGGGCCCATGGGTCGAGGCTGGGCCCATGGGTCGAGGCTGGGCCCATGGGTCAAGGCTGGGCCCATGGGTCGAGGCTGGGCCCATGGGTCGAGGCTGGGCCCATGGGTCGAGGCTGGGTGCAGGGGTCGAGGCTGGGCCCATGGGTCGAGGCTGGGCCCATGGGTCGAGGCTGGGCCCATGGGTCGAGGCTGGGCCCATGGGTCGAGGCTGGGCCCATGGGTCGAGGCTGGGCCCATGGGTCGAGGCTGGGCCCATGGGTCGAGGCTGGGCCCATGGGTCGAGGCTGGGCCCATGGGTCGAGGCTGGGCCCATGGGACGAGGCTGGGCCCATGGGTCGAGGCTGGGCCCATGGGTCGAGGCTGGGCCCATGGGTCGAGGCTGGGCCCATGGGTCGAGCCTGGGCCCATGGGTCGAGGCTGGGTGCAGGGGTCGAAGCTGGGTGCAGGGGTCGAGGCTGGGCCCATGGGACGAGGCTGGGCCCATGGGTCGAGGCTGGGCCCATGGGTCGAGGCTGGGCCCATGGGTCGAGGCTGGGCCCATGGGTCGAGGCTGGGCCCATGGGTCGAGGCTGGGCCCATGGGACGAGGCTGGGCCCATGGGTCGAGGCTGGGCCCATGGGTCGAGGCTGGGCCCATGGGTCGAGGCTGGGCCCATGGGTCGAGGCTGGGTGCAGGGGTCGAAGCTGGGTGCAGGGGTCGAGACTAGGTCTATGGGCCGAGACTAGGCCAAGTACGTATGTACCCTTGTATGTATGTGTCCTCCCTTGCAACCATCCCTAACATACCGAACTTCGGTAGCAGTTCATATATATATATATATACCCTATATACCCTATATATACCCTATATATATACCCTATATATATACCCTATATAGATAGATAGATAGATAGATAGAGAGAGAGAGAGCACATACGTACAGCCTGACCGTCATCAAACCAGGTCTCATCATCAAACCAGGTCTCTACCAAGGCCAGCCCTGTCCCAACCGCATCACGTCTGTCAAACCCAATTGAGAGCTCAGTCACACACGCAGGCACCCACACGCCTGTTTGCTTGCACAGCAGTTACAAACACGCACGCACGTCTATCATGCAGTAATCATACGTATGTCAGTGTACCAACCCACCAAAATGAAATAAAGCAGAGGCTCAAACGATTACGTACGTACGTACGTACAGGTAGGCCAGTAATGTTATTATTATTGTTACACCGAGCACGCTCTGGCGTGGTTTAAGGGGACGGGGGCCTGCCGCCGGGACTCTGGCATTTGCTTTATATAGCGAGCCGACCAGCCGCCACCAGTTGTGGTCCAATCCGCACGACACCTGTACGACGATCCACGACACTATCGCAGTCGTTCTCCTCGCCCCATTATCGCTGGGGAACACGGCCAGTTAGTGCTACTAGCCGGAGCCTGGCCCTCCTGATCACACCTCAGCAGCCACCTCGCTAGTACCGACTACCGGGTAGCCTGGGAATTGCCCGCTCATTCTTCGAACTTGGCCTTCGACTCCATCTCTTGAGTGGTAGGCGTCCTCCTCCCAGGGGTTACGGTCCCGCCCGTTCCGCTCCGACTAACTACATCTACCGTCTTCGTCAACTGCCCCCGCCAACAACACCGGTTGGTAAGCTGCCATCCAACCTTCTACACCCTGGCCAACTGCCAGGGGGTCAACGGTGGGATTCGAACCCACATCTACCCATTGACAGTTCGACCAAGCATGGGATCGAACCCATGACCATCGAATTGCCAAGCGAGTGCTCTTCCAATTGAGCTACGCTGACAGGCCAGTAATGTCCAAACGGATCTACCATACGTCCCCTACTCCGCACCCCAGGGGGCCCCTGGGGTGCGGGCCCCAGGGGGCCCCTGGCAGGGGCGGGCAGTGAAGCGGCCAAGACATGCCTTAATGAACTCCGTCACCATCGATGCTGTTCAGGCGCTAAATAAGATTGTGGTCACCAGGCGGCAAATGGATTGCGTGCCGCTCGAGATGCAACAGCCGATGTGCACATAACAACCTGAATTCGTTGTCAACCCTCACTGCTGCGGCGGGGGAGGACAGGGACCAGTGTGGATTTACGTGTACTCGACGGGCACGGCCCCCACCATGTCGTTGAGGATGAAGTAGCCCGGCCCGTCGGAGGGCCTGTCCTCCGTGGCAGCACCCTTCCGCGATCCACCTCTGTACAACACACACAATGCACACCCTGCCTCTCCCCCACGCTCTCCAGGGATACACAGCCGTATCCCTCCACGTCACCTGTCTGCCTGCGTACATGGCAGGTCAAAAGAGCAGAGTAGTATGGCATGTTACCATGAAGATTGCAACTAACAAGGGAAGACACAAGCCTGTCCGACCCAAGCCGGTCATGTCTGACATCGATTCTCATTCGAAAGACCTCCTGTGGGATGTAGCACAGCCGTTCCAGCCTTGAGAGTGTATCTTCCCAGCCTCCCACGAAACAACTTACTTGTGCCACTCCAGTGGTCGCAGGTTCAGGGTCCTGTTCCAGACGTCCTTGGACGGGCCAAAATGTCAATTCCTACCTGTTTGGGCCTTACAAGCTCTTGCGAGTTTATTGGAACAATAAAGATGAAGGACAAGTCATTCAAGCTCACTTTCATCTTTTCAGCACCTGGGCGGGCGTCTTTTTTATCTCGACGGAAGCAGGATGTATGGCACGACGTTTGCCAAATTTCGGTAGGCTTTCATGTTTTCTAGTGAAAGCACCTAAAAAGTAGTAATGTTCGTTGATAACCAGCCTTCAGAATTTACATGTCTGTTGCGGTAAAGTGTCGCGGCAACTAGGTATAGGTCTGTTCCATGACGCTTACTTCGTGTCAACACGAATACACCCTTGCAGTCGTCATGCTATGGACCTTAATTGGCGTCCATCATTTGCCCTCCCATATGGTGGTGGGCAATCCAGCACGGTGAGGCGGGACGGTCCAGGTGAGCGTGGCGGACCTTCCCGCCTTGCCGTGCTGAATTGCCCACCACCGTATGGGAGGGCAAACGATGGAGGACAAGGTCCATAGCATGACGACTGCAAGGGTGTATTTGACACGAAGTAAGCGTCATTGAACAGACCTAGTCGCCGCGACACATTACTGCAACAGACATGTAAATACTGAAGGCTGGCTATCAACGTTACTACTGTTTAGGCGCTTTAACTAGAAAACTTGAAAGCCTACAGAAATTTGGCAAACGTCACGCCATCCTGCTTCCGTCGAGATAAACAAGACGCCCGCCTAGGTGCTTAAACACTCTGGGGAAGACTTTCCTCCGTAAAGGTTTCAAACTCCGTAAAATGCAATTTGGACACCATAAACTTCCCTATATATCCCCATATACTTTCATGTACCGCTCAGACTTGAACCTTGCAAGAAGTTTGTTGGCGTCTGCTTGCGACGCCTGGGCCCTCGTGATGGCGAGTTGGTTGAAGGCGGTAAGACCTTGTTTTACATTGTCAGCGTCTGTCAACATATGAGCCCACATAGGCGGTTGTGAATTCTGGTAATGCACGTGACTATGCATTACCAGAATTCACAACCGCCTATGTGGGCTCATATGTTGACAGACGCTGACAATGTAAAACAAGTTCTTACCGCCTTCAACCAACTCGCCATTACGAGGGCCCAGGCGTCGCAAGCAGACGCAAACAAACTTCTTGCAAGGTTCAAGTCTGAGCGGTACGTGAAAGTACACGGGGATATATAGGTAATTTAACGTTTACGGTGTCCAAATTGCATTTTACGGAGTTGGAAACCTTTACGGAGGAAAGTCTTTCCCCGAATGCTTACTTCAAGCTCTGCATCCCATCTATCTATCTATCCATAAGCAAATCCAGCAGGCACGCATGCGAGCACGCCCCCGCTTGCACCAGCTCACCCGTGCAACAGCTATAGCCACACGGCAGCCAGCGCCCACCCACTCACCCACCCACCCACCCACCCCTGCACCCCATTCCACACCCACCTGCCTCGCTTAACCCCGGAATGTCGGTGACCAGGACGGTGTTGAGGGCCCTCCGCGCTTGGCGTTACCCAGGAACATCAGACGCAGTACCACCGATTCGCGGTTGAAGCACCATAGCAGCTGCAATCAATCAATGCACGCTAGGGCTTACGGTCCAGCGTAAAACTTTCCTTTCCTTTTCAATGCACGCACATACGTCGTACAGGAGCCGCGTTCGTGTCATGGCCCCCAATATAATTTATACAACCGAACCAAGACGACAAGCAGGGCAACGATGCAGGGTTCGGCAGTATAGTGGCCCCGGGCTGGATAGATGGACATTGCCGTACATGCCGTACTACTCACCCATAGCGTGGTCGGTACGACGAAATGTATGGAAGAGAGATTGAACCACATCTTGGCGATGCCCGGCGTGACGTTGGTCAGCGAGAAGTGGTCAAAGTCTGTGAAGCGGAGGACGTTGCCCTTGATCGCGGTGCCACTGTCACCACCCTGCTGGATGCATGCATGGGGGTGCAACGGGGGAGGGTTGCGGGGGCTGTGAGAGAGGGCAGGGCCCGTTGCTAGGAACGAAACCGGCCGGGGCCCGCTCGGAGGCAGGGGGCGCAGGGTGCAAGTAACGAAATAAACCGGCCGGGGCCCGCTCTGAGTAAAAGCCTCGCAAAGCCACGCAAAAGGGTAGAACGTGCGGTCGGGAGCATATCGGCGCGGGCGGGGGCCGACGCGAACGGGGCCCGCGGAAATGTGGGCTGCGATAATGGTCAACTGTCTTTGTACAATGTATTATATAATAAATAAACGGACGGCTAAGGCCCTAGCTCCTGCCATTGTGGCGACGGCTCTCTGTCCGATGACGCGACCCTATTTCTCGGCCCTTCTCGGCAAGGCCATGACATACAGCCATCTAAATTCACTTTCGGCAAAAGGGCATCACCAAAATTTCCAGAATGCTTTCCAAGTCAGTCTTTGTTATGGCGGTCTCGCATCGCCCTTGACACCACAGTGGAACCAGCTCTGCCCTCGGCCAAGCAACCAGCCCTCGTTGCGCGTGCTGATTTATTTGCCTTCGATGTCATGATCAAAGCATTTATATATATATCGGAGCACCCACCTTCGATTCTTGATGCGAAAAAGCGCCGGCACGCCGCGCCGGCCGCGCCGCTCCGCGCCGGCCGCGCCAGCCGCGCCGGCCGCGCCAGCACGCAGCGACACAGACGCCAACCGTTATGCAACAAGGGGTTGGTGTCGGCTTCCTTGAAGCCGGAAAAAGGGCGGGGCCCCACTAAATCCGTACGGGTGGAGTTGAGTGCCAGGGCGGCGAGGGCGTGAAGTGTGAGAGTGTCGACATTCCTGCTGATAGACAGCCAGTGCTGTTTCCCGAAATGCCTGCTAGCCGAGTCGTTAGCAAGGCCTGCCGGCGCCGCGCGAAGCGCGTCATCCCGCCGGGTGCATGAGCGCATGTGCGCATCGACCGAAATACGGCATTTCCAAAGCGAGCTGCGAGGGCGTCAACTGTGAGAGTGTCGACATTCCTGCTGATAGGCAGCCAGAGCTTTATACCTGAAATGCCTGCGGCTTCAGCAATCCGACCCATGTTTAGCATCGCGCGCCGTCTCGGCACTGTGCAACTCTTCCGGCCAGCGCATTGGCTGAAGTTACTTGACAGTAGACATGGAGTGTATCATTTACACATCACGCAGGCTGACTTGCCAATAGAAGGACAGCGGAACTGTTTGCGAGGGTTGCGACGACGTGCAGTTGCCGACGAGAGTGCACAGGCTTCGCTACTGAGGTATTCGCCGTAGAGGAGGCTTGACTGCTTTAAAATTAGGACAGGGAATGTAGAAGTCCATCCCCTAGGTTGCTGACTGGACTTGTTGGGCGGCCCGCAGAAGACCGCTGCATCATGCATGCGTGCATTGGCGGCTTGGCGTCCAACAACCAGCAGTTTGCCCCTCATGGTTTGCTCCTTGCAACCTTTGTAATAGTAATATGCTTCAAGACGATCGGACCGGCTAGCAGAGCTGCTGTGATGTGGTCGCGGGAAGAATGTTCGCAATGCAAACTTAGTTGGTCGCCGAAACGAAGATTCATTTCACGCCGTCATGTCAGAAATCCACTTTGAGGAACGATGAATCTTCTGGAATTAATTATAGGCCGAGAGGCCTTGGTTTGACCTCGGCCTCGGTCCATGGAGACTGCCAAACTGGTTAGGATGCGGAATTTACAAGGGGGACCGGTTTTCACACCGGTCGCTAGCCGTACAGGCTAGACAGACGGTTCATCCTACCCCAGGGGCACTCACAAAGGGGCGCCAAAAGCAAAGCCACTAAGGCCCACCAGCACCAAGCCTGCACGACGCACGAAGCGTGAAAGAGTCAGAAACAAGGAGCGCCGACCATGCTCCTGGAAAGCAACACGCAAGTAGCTCCCAACCGAGCACCTGGACAGGAAGCGCCGACCATGCCCCTGGAAAACAACACGCAAGTAGCTCCCAACCGAGCACCTGAACAGGAAGCGCCGACCATGCTCCTGGAAAGCAACACGCAAGTAGCTCCCAACCGAGCACCTGGACAGGAAGCGCCGACCATGCCCCTGGAAAACAACACGCAAGTAGCTCCCAACCGAGCACCTGGACAGGAAGCGCCGACCATGCTCCTGGAAAACAACACACAAGTAGCTCCCAACCGAGCACCTGGACAGGTAGCGTCTACCAAGCTCCTGGTTCATCGCAAGGGTGCAGCCAAATCAGCACCCCGAGTCGCACCATGACAGCGCGATCTGACAGAAACGTCGGGCCCTTGTAA